GTGGCGGCGGACGAGCGCTGGCTGCGGCACCTGCGGCCGCTGCTAGCGACGCGCGAGCTGCGGGCGGTGCCGGGGGAGCGGCGGCTGGTGCCGGAGCGGTGGTGCGCGGCGAGCGCGGCGGCGGCGCGGGCCCAGCTGGAGGAGCTGCTCGCAGACGCCGGGTGAGAGCTATTCTAATACTAGCTGTCGTCCATGCGGGATTAAAAAAGATAAAAAAAACTACTATGCCAAATTTCAACGAGACCTATTCCGCCGTTCTTAAAATACCTTTAAACAAAAATCCATCATATTCGCATTTACAATATTAGTGAGTAAAAGTAAGATTAGTAAGACAGAATACATAAAAGATCTTAAATGTATAGTCATTATTGTTTTACTCGACTTAGATAAACCTAATATCGAATTTAAATTAAAAAAACCTGTAAAGACAATTCTTTTTACAAAGAAAATACTATGAATCATTTTATTAATGAAAGTGTCCAGGATGTAGCGGTGTGAAGTTGGTTGGGGGTGGGGGGTGGGGGGTTAGGTACATGTTATTGGGCACCCCGCACGCACACTCATGTATGTATTGCAATCGAGCATTAACTACGTTTTTGAGGGATATCATCATCCCTGTCGGTAATACTTGATATAACTTGCTACTAATCTCACTAATATTATAAATGCGAGTTAGTTGGATGGATGGCTGGATGTTTGTTTGAGGGTATCTACAGAACGGTCGCATGGATCTCGGCGAAGTTGAGCACAAGTGAGCCGGTGCGTGCAGACAGCGGCTGGTGGTGCTGGGCGGGTGCGGAGCGGGCGCGGCGCTGGCGGCGGCGCTGGCGGCGGGTGCGGGGGGCGCGACGGGCGCGGGGGGCGCGACGGGTGCGGGGGGCGCGGTGCGGGCGCTGCTGCTGCTGGCGCCGCCGCTGCTGACGGCGGAGGGCCCGCGCGACGACCCCGACGACATCCTGCACGAGGTGCGCGCCGCAGCCCGCCGGACCTGAAGGTTCCGGGGACGCGCAAACGACACAGACTGATCGTGGCGCGGTTTGTCGGCGCAGTTGAGGCTGCCGATGCTGGTGGTGTGCGGCAGCGGGGCGGCGGCGTGCGGGCGCGGCGCGGCGGCGGAGCTGTGCGCGCGCGGCGGGCGCGGGGGGCGAGGCACGCGGCGGG